GGCCAAGCTTCTGAAAATTATCTAATGTTCTTTGTATTCCCTCTATCCAGTATTTCAACATTGTTCCAATCGAATGTATGTCTATATTTGTCCGTATGTATTGGTTTAAGGAAAGTAATGTTGTAGCGTTTGACTGTTAATTGATGTTCACTCAGGCGAAGCTGAAGATCACGAGCAGTTTGTTTTATGTAGTGTTTTTCATAGTTTGAGCAATTTATTTTGCAGATGATATTTGGTTTTTCTTCCTTTGTCATTTTGTCCTTTGGTCTATATAGGATTGATTGGAGTGATTCTGTTGGTTTTATTGGTTCCACTTATTTCAAACGGTTTCAGTAGTCGTGCTGTATGCTCCGAAATGTCTTTTATGTATAGTAGGATGATCCATTTGTTGGTTCCAGTGCTTGATTTTCAAACAAAATTAACTAGTATTCATTGTAGAGATGGGGAGATTATCGACCACTGTTAGACATTAACACCGTTGGATGCCAACTCAGTGGTCACTAAGTTGAGCGTTCGTGCACAAGGACGTGGGTCCTAGGTTCAATTCCCGCGAACGAGGGTCGTTGATTAGCACTGCCGAAGAGTCCCATACTAGGCCGAAACAGCCGTCTAGTGCTTCCAGGTTTCTAATGGTGATCTAACAATGATTCGTTTATCATTTCAATCAAAAATGTTGAATCAAGAATTATAAAAAGGAACTAAGAAATTGAATCTATTTATACGAACTAATTAAAAATTGAATCAGTAAGAATTTAATTAAATGTAGCGCATGCAAACTAACGGAAGAACAGTACATTCAATATTCAATTATACATAAACATAATGACATTAGAAATAAGTGGACATGTGTTACGTTTGGCTAACCACCAACTGCCTCTACGAGCTATGTTTTGCAGTGTAGGAGTAGGTTGGACGAAAGCTAGAGGCGGCCAAACCAAAACATTGCAGAAATCCATGAAGTCATTGACAAGTGGACTGAGTCATGTTGGTAGATGTAGGCTATCTGGTTGGGGTCCGCGAGACGAAAGTCACCGATGGTTAGAGACCTTGAATGACATGGCTCAAAATCGTTTGCAATGGCGCAGGTGCATCCACTCTTTGTGTTCTCTCTAATTCTAACCTTCTGAATTCCTCATCATCTCTATCTTTCTCCTTCTAAATTTATCTCACTGAATTATACTGCTAATACTTCTACTATCACTATCACTCTTGGATTTGAACTGACAGTTTCGTCTGTGTGCTGATGGGGTATGTGGCAACCTGAACTGATATACTTACGTACGAAGTTCCGCGTTGTATCTGTATCTGTCTGTCTATTAGAAATAAGTTAACATTCATACAAAATACAATTACAATTACTTGCAGAATAAAACACTTTTACACTGAAAACATTATCATAATTTTATAATCTTACCATCATTTTCTCTCAATACTTTTCAACAAAAAATGGATTCATATCAGTTTATTAAAAAAAATTAAAAGAAACCATTTCTTTTGTTCACAAATAGTACAATACTATTAAATAATCGAACATGAACATGAATGATCTATTCTCTAAAATGTTTACATAATTACATTAGTAACAATATTGGTTGTTATGTTTGTACTGATAAACAAATAGGACATTGAACAAATGAACAGATTACTACTTGTTAATGATAATATAACTGTGTTTATATGAATTTAACAAGAATTTCCCATAACAAATGATAATTTATACAGTAAGGTTAAATTCTAGTTGTATTGTGATGCGCGCTACGTATAAGTAGTATATGACGTGAGTGTCAACGTAATGTCTGGCAGTAGAAGATGGGTGAAGATCAAGAATGGGAGAGTGCGAACACAATGTAATTTGTATGAAACGTATGAATAAGTGAAATGTCAGACAATGGATTGAAGATTCGCAAATTAACGATTTACGATATGGTTTTCCGATTTTACTGAGTAACTTTGTAATTTTCGTTAAATACAATTCGGTTGCCCTCACCTGTGTTCTCCTTCACTACAGTATTACAGTCAATTAATTTTGAATTGTTTTTTTCTAATTCAATGATCAATGTTGTATACTTAGACTTGAAAGTGATGCGAGAACAATATTGAAATAAAATGCTATTGTTTTCTTAAATTGTTGTTTTATTTTGTCGATTAAAATATGGATGATATTTAAGTAGTATATTTTAACATTGATTTTTGATGTTTTGAATATATTCTTTGTTGAGTGCAAATTCACATTACCGTTTTGTACAAATTGCAATCAATATAATAATCCATATTATTGTGAAATAAGAATTTCTTCGAAATTGATTTTTTACTGAGTAGTCACCAATGTTGTAATTGTTCAGCTTATAGTCCTCAAAAAATTTCTGTCCATCAAGTCGTTACAAGATTGTTAGTGGAAATCATTCAAAATTGATTGGCACTATGTTTAGAAGCTATATGGTTAGCAGGATTCGATAGTTAGCTTGTGTTCTAAATAGATTAATTCTCAGATCAGTAAATCTGCAATGGTTTGGGTTTGATAAGAGACAGTGCTTTCCAGCCAGCTGTTTGCCTGCAGCTATTTAGCAGATTATACTGATAATGTAACTTTTGTGATATTCATCAAGTATCCTAAGAGAATTATTTTTGTAAGTCTAATTCTATTGGTCATTTCCTACTGGTCAATCTTGTGGTCATTCTAGGTATCACTGTCACTTCAAATGTTGTTTCCTATTGGCCGCCCTAACTGTCAATGTCACAGACTTCAATGTTGTTTCCTACTCGACCTAACTGTATAAATACGCATTATCTGTAACGTTTTATGACCCGAACACGAACCCGTACCCAGACACCTGGTCCGGGATCCTGATTCTCTTTGGGACTCGGACTTATGAGTAACCCCATCCCGTAGAAATACAACTCTTTAAAAAAAAACGCTGACCATAAAAATAATTTCCTTATGCTCCAATAAGGGTAACAGGAATAAGTAAGTAAGTAAGTAAGTAAGTAAGTAAGTAAGTAAGTAAGTAAGTAAGTAAGTAAGTAAGTAAGTAAGTAAGTAAGTAAGTAAGTAAGTAAGTAAGTAAGTAAGTAAGTAAGTAAGTAATTAAGTAAGTAAGTAAGTAAGTAAGTAAGTAAGTAAGTAAATAGGTAATATACTTAGTGAGACTACTTTTTTTTCCGAAAAAGTTACAAAAAAGCCGAAATGTATGAACTATTTTTAACTAAGCTCATAAACTTTATAGTAAGGAAACATTAGATAAAGTGCTTACAACCATGAAAACTTGAGTACGTGAAAATTTAAATCCATAGCAATTCATCGAGACGTATGCTTCAACCTACAGTTTTATTAAGTCATCTGTAATTATTAATATGATTATTTTTCTTGAGTCTATTTCATAAAACATTCTTCGAAGCCTAACATTTTATTTTCATTCATTTGTACTATTCACTTATGTCATTTCTTCAAATCTATAGTTATCAAGTGAAACATCTTATTCATTTTTCAATGTCTATAGAACTGAAATACTGAATCGCTTTAATTCGATTGCATTGCATCTTCAAATAAAGTTACTATAATTCTAAAATTGTTGTTGTTTCAATTATTTGTCTTATCAATGTTCAATACCTCGTATTATTTCATAATTGAATGTTAGACTTTTCTACAATTGTCATTGTATGAAGCTTGTTTTTCTATCGTAAACGTGAAAACGGCGATTTGTGAAGATCGTATTATTGTCATGTTTTATAGCCATCATCCACAACTTAAACTAATTGAAGTTAAACATTGACACCTTTGAATGTTGGCTCAGTGGGCAGCTGGTTAAGCATTCACACACAAAACCGAAGGTTCCTGGATTGATTAACGTTCACATGGTCGTAGATGAGAACTAAAGATGTCTCATATTGGGACGAAATGTCTTTCCAGTGCTTCCATATTTTCAGTGATAGTCTAGTTAAGATCGGTTGGTGATATAAAGAACGAAAATACCTTCTTGACAAAATGTGTACTGTTACCCCCGTTTTAAAGATTTTTGTAAATTTTATTCAAAGTTAATTTTCTCGGCTAAATTGAAAAAGCATAACAGATTATTTTTACAGTAAGCTTACAGGCGTTGAGATGCTGTATACCATGTTAATTTATCAACTGGAGTCTTGAGAAACCTCATAGTTTTACGTAGAATTTCTTCAAAATTATAAGAAATAGCCAATACGATGTTAATCAAAGTTTCTTAAACAATTAGTGTACACATTTTAATTATATTAGAATTCAGATGGTGTCCAAATAGCTCAGGATTGTTGTTTTTGACTGATGTTCGATAACATTGCCGAGGAGAGCTACATCTCTATCATAACTATATATATATATATATCAGCTGTTTGGTTGTTTGAATATCTGAGTAATTCCTTGGAAAAGACTTAAAAACCCATGAAGATGTTGAAAATACTTCTTTCCTTCTGTTCAATCCAGAAATTTTGTAGAGAATTCAATAAGTGACTATTTATACTTTCATTATACTAAATCAACCATTACCGAATTTTCTAATGGTTGTAGCATGGTTTATAGAAGTTAATACAATATCACTCTCGCACACAGTCTTGTGAACACTCATTTTCTGTACAGAAACTAATTCTTGGCATAAAGCTTCTTTTATTCCTAATTCTTTCGATTTTCTGATTTGGATTCAAGAATAAAAGGCTTTTTCAAACTATTCAATTAGAGTTATGGAGATTATTGTTTTTACCCACTTGAAATCATCAAGCAATCATTGTTAAACCACTGTCAGAAACCTTGAAGCACTTGACGGCCGTTTCTTTCTGGTATGAGACTCATCAGCAGGAAGTGATAGTCCTAGAAATCAAAAACAAGACTTTTAAGTAATGACTAGCACAAGACGTAAATCATAGATCACCTGTCAATTAACTGCAATGACCTTCCTGTATCATAGACTCGGCAACATCAATCACGTCATTAACTTGAAAAATCATTGAATAAAAATATACTATTTAAATCAGATATTAGTAGTATATTTTTTAAAAGACATTTTTAATTACATTGATTTAATCACGTCTTAAAAAAAAATACTTTAATAAAACGTCACACTAAAAAAGACTATCATTCTAGGTAAGTTTATATGTTTGAATGGAGAACATTGAAAGCAACTGAAAACAATACTACTACTGTTTAAAATTTTCTATAATCATTTTAATTATTAAAGATTATTATTATTATTATTATTATTATTACTGTTAATCATTAAGATTCAATCAATGTAACCGTGGTTTCACTTGTTTGTAAGACCACAGTGCAAAGAGTAGGATGTCGACTAGCAATATCCAATGGTCTACTTTCAAATTGTGCAACAGGATCTTTTTCCCCGGGTAAATTTGATGTTTGACATGCCATCACATAGACATCATAATAATCAACATCTTCAACAATTAATGGACATAGCTTTTCTGGACATTTTAATATACCATCTAATAACCAGATAATACCATCACGAGCATGTAAATTCCATTGGATTACTTTAGGCTAAATAAAATACAAAATGAAATCGGTACAGTATACAATTCATTTGTTGATTAAACGTGATAGTAGTAGTAGTAATAGTAATCAAGAGAAATTTGAAACTTACTAACATGAATACATAAACATGTTACGGTTTTGAGACTGTAAAAATTGCTCTGTTTTCTAGTCAGAAATCTTTTGAAATAATTCAGTGCAGTCCCAGCAGAATATATAGACTTATGAAGTTACTCAATTTAGAAATGAGATGATAAACCATCATACTACATTAAACATCAAAGTTATTGAAGCAGTACGCTTTCCCAAATCCTGCTACTCACAGGATTCGAACACAGGACCTTAGGTTCCAAGTGTAGACGCTGAGCGTCTTGACCATTGGTCCGAAATCCAGCAGTGTTAAATGTCTGCTTGCATACCCGAATGTCTAAGGTTCGAATCCTGCTGGTAGCAAGTGTAGTGGACGCGCAATGCCACTGGTGAGTCCCATACTTGGAGGAGTCGACCGACCAGTGTTTCCAGGTTTCTAATGTTGGTCTAACGACGATACCATCACGATTTCATTGTGAAAAGACATTAGTTAACTGATATCTTATCTTGTATCTAGTGTTCATCCAGTGAACGGATCATCACTGTCTTCATCTCAGAGTGTAGTATATGTACTTTTATGTTGAACCGATACGGCTTGCACCAGCCCTTGAACAATTCAATCAATCCATTCTTCCTGAGTTATTATTAACTCGTCTTTTGACCTTGTCAATTATTTGCTCATATGTTGGTCGTTTTTATTTGAGTATATGTGTGTACTGCTTACTTCGCTTATTCCATGTTTGGCTTATTTTTGTCTGATTATATATGTCTAGTCATGCTTCAACACAGTGAGTCCGCTGATTCATCTTATCCACTTCGCTTTGCTTTGCTTTACTGCATTGTATCATCATGTCTGCCTGCATGAACGATTGCCTGAAATGAACTAATCCAACTGAATCTGTATTTGGCTTCTTATTGCCTCCATCTCACAAACGCGGTTCGCTTAAGAATGATACCCAGAAATTGAAGGCTATATTTATTTCATAGTATATTCGAACATTCATAAATGAAGGAGTCGGACAGTGGGACACTAAAATGATGAACCCTACTTCAAATTCAAAACAGGCACTAAAATGGTTAGCCCCATGACGAACATAAGTGTTAGGATATTCATCCAATATCCTAAGAGAATTATTTTTGTAAGTCTAATTCTATTGATCTATTCCCACTGGTCAATATTATGGTCATCCTAACTGTCAGTATTGTTTCCTATTTCACCTAACTGTATAAATACGCATTATATGTAATGTTTTGTCACCCGAACCCGTACCCGGAGACAGATACCTAGTCCGGGATCCTGATAATCTTCTGTACTCGGATCTTGTACTTTTTGTAGAATACATGTTCTACTTCATATCCACTCTTCTTCTTTTAGTCATTGTGGGTTTGGGAAAATCGGATTAGAGTAGCCTGTCGTATCGTCGGATCCTCCAACCTCACCCTGGTTTTCCGACTAAGGTAAACTCGTAATACTTCTACCATATCAAATGACATGTTGACGTTCGTGCGTAACAATAACGCAACCCAATAAGAGCTTCAAAGGGTAAAATTAATTTACTGTAACTATTAAATAATTCATTTGTTTTAAATCTAGTTTAAAGAAATGATTTTTTTGAAAACTAACACTAAATATTCAACATAATAATAATAATAGTAATAATAATTCTCTCTCTATATATATGTACATATATATATACATAAAACACCTGTATTGTGTATTCATTTTGTTCCATTTTACAAATAATAATAATGTGAATTTGAAAAAATCAAACGACGTTCATTGTTCAATATATATATATATTCATGTTTCAATTTATTTTAGATACAAATGACGATGTACTAGATATTTACAAAAATTGTTTATGTGTTGAATAATTTTTTTTTTAAAAAAACAGCTAGTTAATTGAAATAAAACAAGTTGATGATGAACTTTTTATCATTATTTAATTTAATATTATAAATATCTTTATCATTATTCGTTAATATTGATAATTGAACAATAACACAAATCGAAGTGAATGATATACTTTTATAACGAATGAATATTAAAAAGAAGATTGACAAAAATATCAGTAGCTTAAATTTGTTAATTATTTGTGTGATTGATAAGTTAGAAAAAAGAAAGACACAGATTTTATGCACAGGAATTCAGATTATGACTTTAAAATGTCTCGTAAGGAAAATAAATGATTTTGTAATCTGTATTATGGGTTCATTAACAAGTGGACTTAGTCATGTTGGTAGATGTAGACTATCTGGTTGGGGTCCGTGAGAAGAAAGTCAGCAGTGGTTAGAGACTTTGAATGACATGGCTAAAAATCGTTTGGAATGGCACAGGTGCGTCCATTTGTTGTGTTCTCTCTAATTCTAACCTTCTGAATTCCTCATAATCTCAATCTTTCTCTTTCTAAATTTATCTCACTGAATTATACTTCTCGAATCATATCTTCGAGCCCTAATCTTCTCCGTTACTACTAATACTTCTACTATCTCCACCCATATTGTATTTGAACTGATAGTTGCTTCTCTGTGCTAATGCGGTATGGCAACATGAACTGAGAAATGTACGTACGAAGTTCAACGTTTTGACTGAATAACAGACTGATTTATGGGTTTGTGAAGATTAATGAAATATTTTTTTGACATGATGAAACGTTCAATGTTAGATCACCATGAGAAACCTGATAAGCACTTGAAGGCCGTTTCGTCCTGGTATGGGACTCATCGGTAGCAATGTGCATCCACGACTCTTGCAACTTGCAGGACGAAACGTCCGTCCAATGCTTCACAGGTTTCTAATAATAGTCAAACATTGATCAATTTATGATTTCAAAAAGTTTCTATCATCATTAAAGTTAACCATTATTTATTCAAGCTTGTTTTACTGGATTCAATTCTTTCCAAGTTTTTGTTTTCAGTGTTTCAACAAATTAAGACTACTACTGGCAGGATCAACCAGTTTATTCACAATTATGTAAATTACATAAATTTTACATTGGTTTTCAAGAGAATCAAGCAGACTGATCACATGTTAACATTTCGACCTCCCTTGGTGCAAGCACACAGGTACCTGATACCCTGGTGGACCATTCACATCATTTATATACACTGGTACATATGTTGTGGTTATTTCCGATCTATGATCGCGTCAATCAATATGCATCGCATGAACAGGCCAATTCGACCTACCTGGCTTACATGACAGTCAAACTCATTATTATTAGCAATTGTGATGTGCAATACAGCACCCCAATGACAATGACCCTTGTGAATTTTGCACAACAACCAGCAGTATCAATGGAATCGGTCGCCCTACTAACCATGTTTCTATATGGACTGTTAGCAATGCCAGGCCATCCATAATGTTCACAGCGAACCTCTGATCTCATAGCAAACCTTCAGCTGAATATAACAGTTTAGCATGTGGTATACACATAGTATACCCACATAGTATGGCATAGGGTAGCAAAAGATGCAGCCAAGCTTGATGTAAACAGGCCTAAACACTTCTATTACCCTTTGTCTCATGTCCAGTAATGACTTTCTCGAATTTCCGAAATTTACATTTTTCGACCGTATAAGACGTGAGTAAGGGGTAGTACCCTTGTTTCAACAAACTGCAATTTGCCAAATGAATATCGAATACTCTATTAGTCCAAATTTGTTAATACAAGAATTTTGGACTTCAGTGAGAGATGATAAGTGAATCAAGTAGGTTATGGTGACTATTTTTTGAACTTACTTATCGTCATAAAATCTATAAATGCCAAGAAATTGTTTCACAACCACGATTCTATAAAAAATCTAACCTGTCACAACTAACTCTTTTAGAATGCATTATACTTTTAAATCACCGAACTATAATCAAGTTCTCAAAAATTACCATCTATCATTTAACGATTTTGTTACTGTTGAACTGTTTAATTCTCTAAACTCTCTCATATGCGAATCCTCATTGTAACTTCCAAACCAAAATTTCATTAGTAAAAACACTTTCAAGGTAACCTCACGTTTTTAAAAAACATAACCTCATTCCACAGTAGTTCAAAAAATTGTTCACTTGAAGTTATTAACCTAGCAGTGTTAGACCACTGTGGTGGTGGTGTTTGGTTCTCTGAGCTCTCTCAGCTACAAATCTTCTCCACCATGTCAGTGTTAGACCACCTTTAGAAACCTGTAAACACTGCACGGCTGTTTCGTCCTGGGTTGGGACTCACCAGCAGTGCTCATCCACGACTCTAGTAAGTCGTAGGAATCGAACGCAGGATGTTTAGTCTCGTGAGCAGACATTTAACCAGTAGAGTTCAACCGTGTTCGATTATGAAGTAGTTCTTTTGAAGTCACTGGATCTATTGAAGTTAGACGTTAACACCGTTGGATGCCGGATCAGCGGTTCAAAGGTTAGGCGTCCGCAATCGAGACCAAATGCCCAAAGAGTAACCGGAATGGTAGCTGCCTAGTGCTGATAAGTCCCGCACTGGGACGAAATGACCACCCAGTACTTTCAGGTTTCTAATGGAAGTCTAACACTGATCAATTCATAATTTCAAAGTAATTTAAATTATGTCACAGATGCCTTATCATCTCATCCTTTGGTTTACATTGGTTAGGGTTAGGGTTTTGTGAGATACCTGTAGTGATTTTGTTTTGAACTTCCAATATGTCATATATATATATATGTTAGGATGATCTGTCTGTTGATTCCTACATACGATTTAGCTTCGGCTAATCAGTCAAGGTGCTCAACTTCATATCCATAACCACAGATTTTCTCCACCATCTCAAAGTTATATACGAGCATAATTTGAAAACAGTTTTTTTTTTAAGTAAACAACCTACCCATTGATCACGTGGCAGACCTTCATATCCAATACGCATGACTCCATTGTTATCCATCCAGAAAATTAGTTCAATACCGGCAGAAGACATAAATTTATGAATTGTATTCTTTTCAAAATAACCAATATCTCCACCCCATAAATACAATGGTATATGATTGAGTAGTAAATACTAGAAAAAAAGGTGAAAATATTACATTTTGTAATGATGAGTTGTAAAGTATTTTGGTTGGAATAGTGTTAACTTTGGAAAATGTAATGAATATTTGTCAGTTTTGGGAAGATAGATATTGTTTACTCAATTGATTACTGACATTAACAATAGACGCTAATATTTTTGCCAGTAATCAGTGCCCGAACACAATGCATAAGGTAAGTTTCATGTACGACTCAATAACGGAATAGATCTACATACTCTTGATCATTCATTTCAAATGTATGTCTACTATCTACTATATATGACAGTCACTGACTTCTTCACTGGTGAGATGTACTGCTTCTGAGGCTGCTGCTGCTACACTGGTCGTATTCACTTGCATTTGTTGTTGCGTGTGCGATAGAAGAGCCAGATCATCTGAGAAGTCTAGATCTTCCAGCGGCATCTCAGCTGTCTATTGGATACCGTGCATTCCTCCAGATGTTGATGTCTTCATAATCCAGTCAACCGCCAGATGAAAGAGAAAGGGTATGAGTAATCAACCTTGCCTGACACCGGTCTTCAGCTCAAACGAGTCTTTCAGATGTCCTCCATGCATGATTTCGCAGCTTAATTCATCATAAGAATTCCGTATAATGTAGGCTAACTTCTCAGGCACACCATAGTGTCAAAGAAGCCTGTCCACGCTGACAAATGCTTTCTCTCAGTCAACAACCATCATGACGAATTAAATTTAAAAAAAGGCTAACCAGAAAAATAATTCATCATAGAGGCTGATAATAGTTTGAGATATATGATGAAAAGAAGATGCAGAATCAGGGATAATAACATGTTAGAGTACAGAATTGTTATTACAATAATACTAATCAGTCTTTTAAGTACAAAATTGGTATTTTTAAGTATTGGAAGGAGAATATAATTCGGTTAGATATGCTCGTACATCACTTATGATACTGTCTAATTCATTGGAAGAATAAAAATATTAAAAGATGAATCAATGGTTAAGATCCCGCTGGGTTTCAGCATGTTCACTTATCAAATCACTGACAAGTGGACTGAGTCATGTTGATAGGATGTAGGCTATCTGGTTGGCGTCCGCGAGACGAAAGTCACCGATGGTTAGAGACCTTGAATGATATGGCTCAAAATCGTTTGTAATGGTGCAGGTACATCCACCCGATGTGTTCTCTCAAATCCTGATCTTCTGGATTTGTCGACACCTCTACCTTTGTCTTTCTAAATTTATCTCACTTGAATAATATCTTCAAATCTTAATCTTCTCCATTACATACTAATACTTCTACTATCTCTACCACTATGGGATTTGAATTGACAGTTGCGTCTCTGTGCTAATGTTGTATGACAACATGTGAACTGATGTACTTACGTACGAAATTCTACGTTGTTACTGACTGACTGACCAATTGACTTATCAAATCAACCCAGTACCGATAATTTTGTCAATCTACTCAATGTGTTCACTAAAATAATTCGGATATAGGCACCTGCTTACAAACAAGTGGTAAATAGCGCAAAACATTGTCTCCTGACAACTTCCTACAACCACCAACATACTGTATATGATACTGGGTTATTTGATTTAACGGTTATGTTGCAACACCGTTAGATATCGACTCAGCGGTCCGATGGTTACGGGTTCGACTACAATACCGAAGGTCCTGGGTTCGAACCCTACGGGGTGCAGGAGTCGTGGATGCGTACTGCTGAGGAGTCCCATACCAGGAAGAAACGTAGGTCCAGTGCTTCCAGGTTTCTAATGGTGGTCTAACATTGATCGATTCATGGTCTCATTAATGCTTAACAATCTTCACAACCCCGTAATACATATATATAAACATGAATAAATGGATTTACATTTTCTAAATTCTTATCTGTGTATATGTTCAATTCAGGTTTATATGGATTAATTGTTGTCGGTGTAGCTCGTGGATCTTTCCAACCATTATCTGTAGTGACAAGATATAGATTTTTCGGTGCATTGTTTTGAAAATATTTCTCATCCATTTTAGCTTTCTCAGTTTGATTTTTAGCAATCCTAGGAAAAGAAAGATTAAACAACGAAATAAGGATAGAATTTATAATTAATTAAAAGTAGGTTTAGTAATTTTGAAAATCAGAAAGTTTTCAAGATTATATATTCAAGATTATAGAGAGGATGGTCAGTCAGTCAGTAATACATAGCTTAAAAGCTGGTTGGTACATGTTTGCATCAGCTTAAATGGTCTCATCGCACTTTTTCAGACTCTCTTTACCAAACAGAACTACATTATATCAATATTTTAAGTCAAGAAATGAGTCACAAGGAATGGAGCTTAGAACACATACATTTCTCAACCTTAATTGCACTATGTGACATACAAGTTAGAATTTAAGGATTTAACACTTTCCAATTCCATCTATCTGTAATAATCGCACTCCCCAGATACTGATATCCGTCAGTAAATACCGTTCAGTGCTTCATGATTTCAGATTGCAACGTTACATCACCAATCGAAACTTGGAAGCACTGGAAAAATGTTTCGTCCTAGTATGGAACTCACCAGCAGTATGCATTCGTGACCTCAAACGAGGGAACAGAAACTAAGATTTTCGATCTTGTGCTCGAACGAATAACCTCCTGACCACTGTACCGAAATTCACTGATGTTAATGCCTGACTGCAATCAGTTCACAATAGTGAGTGTCTTCAGTGTGTAAGTCAAAGTCTCGCACTCGACAAGATGGAACTTCACTGGTAATGGCTTCTCACTAGAACTCCGAGAATATGCTCAAGAAGCTAGTCACCATTAAGTACATGACAACTGTCATCATCGAGTTGTGGAGATTGTTTAGTTTCATTGAAGTCATGGTGGACCATTCTTGAACATTTCAAGTTATACTAAATATAAACAAGTATTGCTGAAAGCAGATATAAGTGAGAGATTAGCGTCTTTTTTGGAAAGTTTGTTTTATGCTGGACAGAGTTTGTCAGATTATCCTGGTCGGTGGCCTGTGCTCCACGAAGGGTAGAAGTTAGTAAGTAAGTAAGTAAGCAAGTAAGTAACGTTTTGCAGTTATGTAATTATTTTACTATGTTTCCTAAAACCCCGTCTGGGGCCCTTCTAGAGTTACTGATGGAAGAGGGTCGGGCAAGGGGTTTGCGACTGCATCCCGTAGAAATCTAACATCTTAAAATAAACGCTAACTAGTAAAATAATTCGCTGTTCGGCAGCCCATGCTCCTTTAGGGGTAACAAGTGTAAATATATAAGTTAGTAATTTAGTAAGTAAGTAAGTAAGTAAGTAACTAGGTAATTGCAATTCATCAGATTATAAAGTTGTGAATTCACTACTAGGGATCATATTTCACCAATTATATCAGATGTCATACGATACAAAAATAAGCCAAAATTCTCGTCTACTTACGTGGTATCAGGTCGATTTGTCAATATATCGGTCATATTAAAATCGGGCGGGACATTGATTCTTGGAGTAACGTAAATAGTTACATCATCTAATTCAAATGACTCGAGATTATTGATTGGTGAATAATGAAAGTTTAACTTGAAAATAGGAACAAAATAAAGGCAAATTAGTTTATGCCATAGTTTTTAAATAAACCAGTTGGTAAAAATGAAGTTAGAAGATGAGAATATTACTTATTATTTTAATTATTTATGCCTGTTACCCTCTAAGGAGCATAGGTCGGCGATCAACATTTTCCAACCTACACTCTCTTGAGCCTTCCCTTTCAGTTCTTCCCAATTACCGTCTATCCTTTTCATGTCTGTTTGCGATCCTTGGAGTAATGTGTTCCTTGGTCTGTCTCTTTTCCTTTGGCCTAGCTAATTTCAAGCTAGGACTTGCTTTGTGATGCCATTGGGTGCTTTCTTCAATCTGTGCCCTATTCACTTCCGGGGCTTCTTCTTGATTTCTTTATCAGATGGAGGAAGCGAGTTTGTTCCCTGTCGCAGTCGTTTGTTGCTGATGGTGTCTGACCAACAGATATGCAGTATTTTGTGAAGTTAACTATCAATAAACATGTGTGTCTTGTCAATAATGGCCTTTGTAGTTGTCCGAATTTCCTCTCAATACAATAAAACTGTTTTGACTCTTGTATTGAAAATTCGGACTTTGGTGTTGTTTGACAGTTGTTTTGACTTCCAGATAATGTTCACTTGTTCTTGCTTTGTTGAACTTCATGTCTGCATTGAATCGATTTTATTTATCTATGATGCTGCATAGGTATGCGAGGAATTCCGCATCTACTAAATCGTCTCCGTCAACTGTGATATGGTTGGTGAGTGTCATGTTGTATCGGAGACTGTTGCTTTTTTCCCCTGTTTATGTTGAAACATATTGCTGCGAAGGCTTTTTCTACACAGATCGTCTTCTGCATTTTAGTTGCCCATGGGATGTAGGAGCTAGATCATCTGCAAAGTCCAAATCGTCCAGCTGTATCCGAGCTATCCACTATATTCCTTTCTTCTACTGAGATATTCTCATTATCCAGTCAACCATCAGCCAAAAGAGAAAGGGCGACAGTAAGCAAACGTGTCTGACACCGAGAAATGAGACGGACTTGAGAAAAATAAACAAAAAATTGAACAGAACTGGAATGGGGAGCCCGGAACAGAGTAGTTGGAGAATACTGGTCGGCGGCCTGTGCTCCATTGGCGGTAACAGGAGTAAATGAGTAAGTGATTAAGTAATATAAGTCTTCTCTTTAAATTTACATATCTAAATAATTTTTAGATATTTTTCATTTTTCATTGATTAAATCGTGAAAACGTCAGTTGTGTTTGAAGTTCAAATCATGAGTGGGACGAAATGAAAAAATCGCATTATTACTTAAAATACATTTGTAATCATAAGATTGCAAAGATGGTTGAGTTTCATTAAAATCATGAATCGATCAATGTAAGAACATCATTAAACACCTGAAGGCATTGAACAGTCGTTTCATTCTAGTGTTGGACTCATTTATAGTAAGCACTTACCACCCCGGTTGCGGGAATCGAACACACAATCTTCGGTCTGGATGGTGAACACTGGAACTCCTGATCATTGAGCTAGGGTCCAACAGTGTTGATATGTAACTCCGCAATACTTAAATGTTAATGACATTAAATATCAAGGCATAAGTAAGTCTGAAGGAAACAGACTATACAACCTTTCGTAGATTCAATAATCATATAGTCAAATATTTTACAAAACACTGATCATTTGCAATGCTTACTAATATGTGGTTATGAATTTATCGAAAAGTGAAGTTTTAGGAATTTCAATAATCAATCACTTGTAAAAACTTTGATTAAGTTCAATTGTAAATTGTTCGAATTATTCCTTTGTTAATATTCTGATTGAGATTTATTCAGACTTGGTTGGAAAATAGGTATCCTATGCGGATTGACTCGACATAGCCAATATCACATAAATTTACATGAAATATATAAAATATGGCTAACAGTGGAATCCAGATTCCGCGCATGTCGCCGCTCTATTTGAGACTTATCACCTAGATCTTCTACCTGCATCTCAGAGTTGATGTATGCGATGGCGCAATCGCGTGATATCGTTTAAAGCGAACAATAACAGGTTCGAGTCCCGGACTTCACTACCAAATACATTCTATCGATTTTTGAGTAATCTTATTAACAAATTAAAATGAAAAAATGACACAAACAATTCATTGAAATTATTACCTGTGATCCATATGGAGTTTTTTTAAAATAAGTTGTTTCATATAATGGTTCATTTGGATTGACTGTACGATGTCCTTGTGTATGACTAGCAAAACTACCAATATTATTTAAACGATCATTACTTTTCATTACATGATAACGTGCTACACGGCAACGATATTCTTTGTCTGTTTGAAAACGTTTATATTGTTCTTGAAATGGTGAATAAGTTGACCACCCTAGTTGATAGATTAATTAAAATATCATCATTATACATTGAATAATAATAATAATAATAATAATAATAATAATAATAATAATAATAATAATTGTTATTATTATGATGGTGAAGTTTCATTTTCCAAGCTAGCTGATTTTGTCTGTGGAGGTTTCATTGTTCTACTGCTGAACACGACATCATCAGTGCAAACTTCAAGTAGAAGTGAAGCATTTGAATTTCTCTATGTGTATCACTTGTAGCTAGTGTTTATTAACAGTTGTCTACGCAAAATACTTCGGATTCTTTGGCCAGACATTATCAGTAACAACCTACTGCGGGAGAGAACAAACCAGATTCCAGTGGAGGAGGAAATCAGGAAGAAGCGGTGGAAGTGGATAGGACACACATTACGAAAAGCACCTAACTGGGTCACAAGACGAGCCCTCACATGGAACCTATTGTGTTCGTCACCTAGTATGCTTGAGGCTATTACGAGTTTACCTTAGTCGATAAACGCGAACAAGACTTTTACGAGCGTCCAGGTAGGCTACCTTGAATCCAAACGGTAAAACAGAAGGCGTAGAAAGTTTATTCTACAAACACTCAGCAATCACAGAACAATCAAGCATATAACTCTCGTTTATTTATACATCATAGAAACGTCCTTGAGACAGTTAAGAAAATAGCATACTAAAATACACAGCAGCCAATCACAGCTATGGATTTTCCTGGTGGGAAATGAAATCTCAAGGTCAACTGATCAGTCCATGCTGACAAACGTCAAAACCAAAATAAGGCATTTATCAAGCGAGTTCTGAGGATCTAACGTCTCCAACAGGAAAATTTGTAGCTCAGGAGTCTGGATGTTGTTTTGGTTGTGGAGCTTTCATTGTTCTTCTTCTACTGTACACAATATCATCAGCAGCACAAACTTCAGATAGAATAACTGAAGTACTCGAACTTGTCCTCGTTTGATGCGTAGCAAATTACAGCTTCACAACCAAAACATCCAGCACAGAGAACAACACTCCACCCTTATATTTATTTGTATTTCATGACACTGTAAACGAAAAACAAAACTCTCATTTTTTTACTCGAAGAACTACTTACATTTCATTGAACTGTCCTGAGGTAGAACTATGGCATATTTTTGCCCTGGTTCCATTTTTAAATCACATTCAGCAAGAAGATTTAAAAATTCTGTGGCTTTTAATTTTTCCGCATATTGTTTATTTTGCATTAATTCTCTAAATGTCATAACTTTAGACAAGGAAAAGAGAATAAAACAAACAGAATGTGATATACAGAGTAAGATCATGGAAAAAAAATATGCTTGGTTTTTTTTCGTATTTAAGATTAGAAGTACACAAAAACCTTCGCCTGCATCCCCTCTAGGGTTGTCCCAAGCCCGGATAAAGGAGGAGTATTGGGAGTGGGCTTGGCGACCCCATCCCATAGAAAAATAAATCGCTAAAAAGAAACGCTAAACAGAAAATATTATTCAAACCGTTTAAACTCTTCCCTAGGAGTTGGAATGTCATCATCTGGGAGAGTTGTAACATCTCATGAAGAAAGCCGAGTTCTTTCGGATGTTTCAAGACAGATGCTCCTTCTGACAACCACAGCAACCATTGATTTAGGTATATGGAATCATCGTACAATGTGGGTGGCTGGGACAGTCATCCTAATTGCTACAGTACACAAAAGTTGTAAGGTCATTTCAAACATTTTTAATACTACAAGTATATTGTGATGCTTTTTTAGATTGGGGAAAAAAATGTTGGCAAGTTATTTAAATGAACATTCAACACTGACAGAAATTCTGTATATGTATAATACAGATGTAGTTGAATGATCTCACCAACTGGAGTTCAAATAAGTTTAAAATTTTTTCAGCAAGTAATTAAACTCGACCTGAAGCGCTGGAGGTTCATAAGATACATATTGTGGAAAGGACACAACTGTGTCACAAGGGAAGCTCTAATTTGGCGGTGATTATAAAGGCCCAATAGAGTTTTGTGCATGAATTTATTTCATACATCCATGTCAATAGACAGACAAATAGAATGTGAAGCAAAGCATTTCATTTTGTAAATTAAAAATAACTGGGATTAAACTCATAGTTTTAACTAAAAAGGAAGGTCCAATAAGCGTAATGGTAATAAACTTTGTTGATAGGAACAGCCCTCAGATTCGCTGCTACTGAGGAGAGAATCAATTCTTCAGCTCGAAGTGCCCTCATAAGACAATGCGCATTAAGCCACTACCAAAGAAGTCCTACGCATTGCTTTCTCACTATCGGGATGTTGTTTACGATATTGAGAGGACGAAAAACAAGTGTCCAGCACTGTCATCGAGTTGGTGAGTAAGGTGGATCAAACTGGGAGAATTCGGAAAACCTTCACTCCAGGATCCTGGAGGAACAAACGTCGTATGGACCTATTACTGGTCTCCTGATACCATGACACAATCTCCTGACGTTGCTCTATTGACTTGCGGATTAGACTAGTAGATCAAATGATCGTTTGGCGATCCTCTAACCGAATCACCTTGTTTAGCTCAGGTAGCCGGCCAGCCTTTCAGGCCACCAAAAAACTTCATTGATTTCTATAGTGCATACACACATAAATGTTGGAACAAATGATTGATTTTTCAATAAACTAAAGAACAGTGTTTGTTATTCATAATTTTAAACAGTTCTAATGATAAATTATTAGAACTGGAAAGGAACGCCTAGTACAGAGTTGGTTGGTGAAGGTCAGTCAGCGGCCTATGCTCCAATAAGGGTAGTAGGAGTAAGTAAGTAA